TGGCAGGGGCAGCAATTTTTCTCCTTGCTACCACTGTATCCAAAGACTGGACACGGGACTAAGAAAACTTCTTATTTAATGGTTAACAGGGTTCATACCCTGTGAGTAAAGCACACTAAGCATCATGCTACCCACTCATCTCCATCTAGTTTCAATGTTAAAAATAAATTCAGCTTTAAAGCCACATGCTCACACAGCTTTAAGGCATGGTACTTAGGCACAGGGACAACTTTACCAAACAATTTTTGTTACGATTAACACATCTTAATTATTGTGTATTTATTACATTATCATTCAACTGTCATAAGTCTAATACCGCATGGAAAATTAATGAGTGCACTTATCAGAGAGACATAAACAGAGCAAATAGCAAAGCCTGGTGGATGTTAATCGAATTTACAGCATCACCCATCTACTTGTCCGATTTGTGATTTCTTACCTCACTAAAGTATCTCGTAATCTGATATTCTGCTGTTCAAGTTGTTTAATTTCATATGTTGACACTCTGGATTCACCAATTCCTCCTCCTGCTCTTTCTGATATTTCTGCTTTAATTATCTCCAGATCTAATGTCAGTTCTTCAATCCTTTCTCGTGTTGCTTCTAGCTCCAATTGCAATGTCTCCGCCTGCAAGAAAGTTTACAGTCACATTAACAATGCATAAATAAACCTACCTAGTTTAATTCAGAATGTCACAGAATTATGTCAAATTTATTGTACCTTTCAAATACCACACACACTGCAACTCAGAAGTTGTCAATTAAAAGAGGGTCTATTTTACATATCAAATACACAAAATTTCTAAATGCATAAACAACTTTCTGAGTATCATAATTTGTGAAAACCTTCAACTGAGATTTTCAATCACGTTTATAATTATTGGAACATACAAGAAAATGAACCATTTTCAGTAAATGGCATATTTAGTTACTGCATCTAATAAAGCCTCTAGCAGACAATCAGGATTGGGTAGAAATTGTGCAGAGGCAGTGGGCTTATCACTCACTACTCAAAGATGCACACTTAAAAGACAAGGAAGCCTCCCACATAGAAGGAAGCCGAGGCCAAAACTTGGGCTCTAACACCACTGGATGGATAGATAAAGCATTTGGTAAAATACAGTAAATTCTGACTCAGAATTAAATTGCCAAGGCTAGCAAGGTTTTGCATGTCATAATATAAAAACAGACAAACCACTTGTAAATATGTGCACATTTAAATAAGTGAAAACAACATCAAATAAAATTGATACCCATGCCATTAAAAGAAAACTGAATTAATTAAATGTCAGTTCAGAAATATAGGCACAGCTCAATGACCTTACCTTCTCCTCGGCCATTTCCTTATCGAGAGTAGCCATCTCTACTGTCTCTGCCAAATCTGCCATTTCCTCAGCATGTGTGTCTCTAGCCTCAATGGCTTCCCTAGCTTCCTGCTTAGCACGCTGCACTTCTCGCTGAAGAGAAGTCTGTGACTCCATTATGCGGGACTTGAATTCAAGAAGTTGTTCCAGCTGCAATCTTATTTTGTCATAATCTTTTTAATTTTCCTTTGTCTTGCATCCTTTTCACTATGTAAAAAAGATGTAAACTCAACTTAACTCTACATTGTGAAAGAAACTGGTCACTAATTCATATACTAATGCCTACAAAATGGATAGTGGCATTTTGGAAAATTTTAACTTTTCAATGTTCTATTACCAAATTCCATGGCCAAGACGTTAGAACTCCTGCTTCATATTCAGGAAGTCATGGGCTCAAATCTCAGCCTGGAAACCAGTTATATCCTGACTGAGGCTTTGTGTGGTTCCCATTTCATCATTCATATAGTATGAGATACTGATGGTATCATTAAATAAATTCCGTGGTTCCTGCACTAGTGCTGATTTTCAACAGTTGCACCACGCTTACTAGCTCAGGACACTAAAACTGACATCTGAATATTCTTCAAGAATTCAAAAATATCTTCAGTTAGAAAAATTATGCATGTCATGCTACAAGCAACAGGTTAATATAAACCTAAGGTATATACAAATATTTTTTTCTGTAATACATTATGCCCAGAATATAATTAATGTAATTAAAATTATCTGAGAAGGATGAGAGGACCTTATGCATAAATTTACAAAAATGTCATGTAAATATAATCAACGTAATAAGACTGCAAGTTCATAATCAAGTCTACACATGTTCAGCAAGGGATAATCACTTGGACAAGTTTTAGTACACACACACACACACATCACTGCATAGAGGACAATAGGAACTGTCACAAAGTATAATATTGTTTTTATATTATATAATACTACAATGTTTGAATCTATATCTGTACATAAATACCTAAAAAGAGACTCTTAAAATAAATGCATGCATACCTTTCAATGTTTCAATTTTCTCTTGTAAGTCTCTCACTTCACATTTCAGATTCTCAATTTCATTTTCCTTACAAATATTGTCACAAAGTACGAATTTTACTATCTAATGTTATTTTTGCTTCACCATGGGACTGTTTTCTTTAGATAAAGTCCATTGTCCAATCTGTTTCACAAGCCACTTGAGTTCCCATTTTCAAGTAAAAGAAAGATTATATAGTAAGATCAGTAAAATGAATTATATTTATCTAATTGGTTCAAGAAAGAAGGAACCCATGTTAAGCTACAAGCTTCTTCTTCTACTGGCCATCATCCTTGTTATTTTCTGCTGTGTAATGGACCACAAACCTCAAAAAATGGAACCTTTTATCATTGCAGAGGCACGAAGTTGCTATGAAGATTGATAATCATAATTAGAGACAATATAACCACAATACACAGCCTAATAACTTACACAAATTTTAACATTCCAAACAAATATGGCAATGCAACTGGACTGTACTGTCATGTTCTACTGTGTCTGAACTGGTGGGAAAGGGAGAGGAAATGAAGGTCAATGGGTTATATGCATGCATGTATGAAACAAAACAAGACTTCTTCATCGTATTTGCATATTCCCAATACAGTCAGTATTTGCATATTCTCTATACAAAGTGTTTAAAATGAATGCGTACTGAGAATGCCAAGTCTCTACATCCACCTGTATCATCTCCAGATACTTTAAGTCTGCAGATGGCAAAGGACTGCTCAAAACACCAAGTAGTTTGGCTAAATGTTCATGTGGTCCACTTGTGTTTAGGAGGCATTTAGGTTTAAATATCAATTATGGCACTCTCTGAGGTTTTCCATACTTTCCCTCAGTCCAGTAAGTAAAATTCTGGAACAGTACTTTTCAATAGTCAATAATCACTTTACCATTCTTTCCAGTTTCATCGTGCGCAATCATTCTGCCATCTCTGCGTAACATCATTAAACAGTGTAAGAACCAACCAGTTTCTAACAAAGCTTTAGAGTAATATTAGCCAAACAATTGTTTCTGATGCATATCAACACAGTGAAGTTACGATGATGTTTTCTATCCAGTATATTTCAAAGTGTGATATAAAACATATCTGCGTAAAGGCAAAGTTGCCTCTGTTCCAATCCACCACACGTGAAGGTGTAGTGAATATGGAAGTAAAGATCTACAGACTAGACCTCAGCACTAAATGGAATGAGTGGTCAGCTGTATGTTTTGACTGTTTTATACCAGAGCCCCAGGTATCAAGAGACAGGAGACTGGGTGAAATATGGTGGCAAAGAGAAGAATCCCTGCCCCTACAAGGAGCTGAACACCCAGTTTCCATTCAGCAGCCATCAGCACCACATGAAGTAACATTTATAACAACATCAAATTAAAATGCAAGCTACCATGTCATTCCTTTAATAACACATCATGATCAACTTGAAAAAAGAAAAAAATGAAAACAAAATACTAATGTATCAATAGTGTAAATCACATGAAGCTACATACCATACGGCTAATGTATTCATGTCAAAAGTGTCTCAAACTTCTGAATTAGCAGTGAGTGGCATTAACAATGGAGCCATAAATGAAGGCAAATTCACTTCTGCTCATGCTCAATAACAGGTCTGTGTGGTATACACATTGATCAAACGACGCTACATTACAAGCAGAGAAAAGTAAGTAACACTTATACACAGTGCAGTCTAGATCATATAAGAAGTGCATTATCTTCTTGCAGTCCCACATCAAAACTTGCAACAAAGTGTTGTTAATTTTGATGGAAACTCTTGCTAAGTCTTCATCATTGTTGTAGGACAATATCCTGCCCCATTATAACCCTCTCATAACTTAAATACTCACCCCATTGCTCCAAAAACAAATGTGATTTTTCCTGTCTCTTAGAGACATGGTAGAATCTGTAATGAACTCTTTGATGTTTCTGTAAATATTCCAAGCAAGATGGTGTACAACTGACACCCTAGGCTGGCATTCATTTGGATCTTGGCTGAGTTACAAGCTTCCCTGATTGAGGATTTTCATGGTTTTCCTCAGACCCTAAAGGCAAATGCCTGGAGAAAATCTTGAAACAAGCCACAACTACTTCCAAGTTCTTACCTAGTCACTATCACGGCCATTCTCACATCTCATCTGATGCTGCATAACATACGCATTTGAAACAGTATTGTCAAAGAAGGTACTAATCAACAATCACTTCAAGTCTGCAAATTACAGCTGGAATGTCAAAATGAAAAATCTTTTAAAGAAGGAACCTGAAGGAACAATTTATGTAACTTACGTAAATCCTGAAATAGGATGGTGTGGTCTATAGTGTGTGAAACAAGGGCATACAGCACATATGCAGAGAAAAGAAAAATACTTTCTGTGCATTCAAGTTGATGAATGTAGATTGGAGCACTCAGTTCATATTCTGAATACACAGTGTTTGTTACAGTAAACAAGGCACGAAGAAGAAACATATCACCAAGAAAGAAATCAAGCAAAAGAAAGACAGAAACAATTTTAATTCACGGAAACTAACAGAGAGAAAAAGCACATTTACTTGTTCCTCCCCAATGCTAGCTTCTGCCAACATTCGTAATCTTTTTGAAGCGTGCTTGAGGGCTACATGAACCTGCTTAGATAGTTGAGTGCTCTGTTTAGAGGATGTAGAGAATTTCTGAAACATAAAATAATATCTGCAACAATTGGAAAAAAGGTGATGCAGATCACATATGTTATGATACTCACTCAGTAAGCCTCACTGAATGCTACAACAAATACTAACAGAAGACACACCACATCCAAACAAATTCACAACACCAGTACTAAGTTCCATACAGACAAAATATCACAATACATGACACACAGAGACACAGAAGTTAAAGTTTTTGGATGACCAAATTTCATACCACAGACCAATGTACAAATAAGAAATTATGGGAAGAACTTACAATGCCTACTTTCTAATGCCTCGATCTATATGGTGAGGTCAGCAAGAGACATAAATTAATAACTATAAAATATAGCATCTTTAATGACAGACTAATATGCAGAAGTATGGAAATGAATACAAAAAAGCAATCTCGGGGTAAACAAAAAAACATCTAGACAACAAAACATGTGTGGGAGTTCATAAACATTTATAGGAGTATTTCACCACAAACTAAAGATGAATTGCACATCATTCTCAGTCAACAAATTAAAATACTAATCCATTTTAATATTTTTGTCACATCTCTGAAGTGGTCTCTTCCTTTCAGCTTTTCCAATTAGAATGTTGTACCCAATGCATACATGTTCAACCCATCTCACACTCCTTGATTTCATTGCCCTTTACTTCATAACACCCATAAATTCTAGTAGAAGTAAAATTCTTCCAATTACTTCTTGAAATCCATAAATTCCAATCATCTACCTATTATTCCTAGTGTCAACATTTACAGAACAGAAATTAACACCTTCCATTTCACAAGAATACAATGAACATAATAATTACCATGCAAAGAAACAACATGAAAATGACAAAAAATACCTCAATAAAAGAAGCTCTCTTGGAAGTCGGCTCAGATGTCTGTTGAAGGTTGGAGAGGTCTTTACCAAACCCAGAATCATCTTTACCAGGAAAATCACCTTGGCTACGACTGCTAACCAGTGACAATCTTGAACTGAAAATCATACATTCTCAAATAAGAACAAATTATTCAGTTACCACGTAAATCTACTGTATAAAATTACTATAGTCCAAAACAGGTTACACTATAAAACTAAATATATTTCTGGAATTTATAATAAATTAATTCCTTTATGATTCTTGAAACAAAGATCATTCATGAAAACAGTAGTAACTAACAACCAACATTATATTACAATTTATACAGTATAATAAAGCTTTACGAATATACAGTAAACATAAATTGGCATCATCGCAACAAGAATAATACCACAAACAAAAGAATTACATGCCTGGACTCTTCCAGTCGGTACAAATAGGTAGAAGATATATTACCAAAGACACTGTAAGGAAGCATTTTTGTAATAGGCATGCACAAAAAAGGTTTATCACGTCTTTACAAATCTAGCAAATGCTGGTCAAAATATCTTTCACACCAAGGGGCACATTGTAATTATTAAAGCATACATTTAAAACAAAGATTATGCCATTTTTTATTTTCTGGTGGGATGAATTAAGAGAAAGGAAATTACAAATTTTCAAATACTATACCCTATTTAATATAGCAAACATGTTATCTGAGGACATTCCTACCTGGTTTTCCGACCAGGTATTGTCCTGCAAGATGGTTACCAACACATAAATCAAACAGAACACATTTACTACTCTCAATATAATACACTATAACACACACACACATATATATATATATATATATACACACACACATATGCACCAGGCTGCCAAGGAGGAATGCCACATTTTAAAGCAATACATTTCATAAAATAATTTACATACAAAGAGATTGCTCTCGAAACGTTGGCAGAAGATATGGTTTATTCACCATTCAGCCACGTGACACAGCTTGTAACTCGAAAGTCTTTCGTGATTTTTAAATGTTTAAAGTCTCTTGAAATTTTCATTCCTTTCGCTTTATTGTGACATTAATGTTACAATTAGTGACAATGGCATAGCACAAGCATAAACCTGCATTAAGGCTCACTTTTTTCTCAGTATGATAACACTGCTCAAAAGAAAGCAGTATGCTGGTATACATTTCCAGAAACAGAAAACACTGAACTTTAAACTGGAATGCCAACAAGATGGTGCTCCAACATTTTTCAGAAAAAAGCAACAGAGAAAATGTTATGCCTGGTGTTTGGGCGAATGGATTGCAAATGGTGGGCCAACTGTGCAGCCTTCTACAAGTCCTATCTGACCTTATCAAATTTCTTTCCCTGAGAAAGGATGCATTAAGAATTGCCTATTCAATAAAAATTTGTGATCTCTAGCATTTAAAGGAAAGAGTCAATGCAGACATTGTGTCACACAAAATGTGGTGATTGAGTGTGAACAGAAACTGAGAACTGTCCTGTGTTTGCTAAATAACAAATGGCAGCTACATAAAAAATTACTTGTAAATATGACACTTTTTGGGCATTAAAATCACTTTTTATGTAAGTAAAATACTTCATAAAGCATAATGCTTCAAAACATAGGCACTCAATTCCTGAGATCAGGTACACTGTACTTAAATGTGATGCAATCAGAGGCTTCTGTTAACTGATTTTGTCCTCCTTTAAAAGTCACTCCACCGTCACTTGCAGCTGTACTGACTACAAAAAAGTCATGGTCAATGCCCATGAGTGAGCTTCATAATTAGTACACAATAGGTTAAAGGCATGTTTACAAAAGTACCTGAATAAAATCTTTACAAACATCTGATTCCACACACTCAACTATAACATGAACTTTTATTTAAGTTGTTTTATAAATCATTTCATAACACTACCAACCATCATAGTTGAGAAGTTATCATTCATGCTTCAACACAAGAGACTCTGGTTTCAAATCTCTTCCATAAACCAGTTATTTTGAATAAGATTTCTTGTGGTTTCCAGAGGTCTCTCCAGGCAAATTTTGACTGTAATTTTAAATTCGCCATAACCACTCCTTCCACATCCTTTCATAAATTATCCTACCATTCAATGCTATAAAACGTAGGTAGTTAAAAGGTACAAATAAAGATATATAAATAAAACATCAATGAAATTATTAAATATGAAGCCACAGATGTGAAAATGAATGGCAAATTGTAATAGACTATTACACTTATATGCATGTTGCTTGTGCCAAACAACATGCCATGAACGGTAAATATGTGGTCAGCAGTTACATCTCCATGCATTTTGCACCATGATTTTACATCGAATTAAGTAGTCATTATTATTCTTTGGCCTCTTTTCCTACCTGGGGAGAAAGCTCCTGAAAATAAATGAATAGGACCCAGAGCTGGCCTGGAAATAGTGACAGAGAGAAAAATCCACCAATCTGGGACTGGACCCCAGTGGCCCTGCCTAAAGAAGCGACTTTACTGGCTGAGTGGTCCTGGATCATAACATTATACTAAATAACTTTTAATTCAAATATTAAATAGAAGTTCATGTTGTATATTCAAAATTCTACATGTAGAATAAGTATAAACATGTGCAGCCACAAAGTGATTATTACAAATGAAATTCACTTCAAAAAATTAAAATTCAAAAAGTACTGACACTTAGATCTATGAACATCATTAAAAAAAACAGTGTGATCACTTTCAGATGAAGCTAAATAATCATTACTCATAAATGTTCAAATTACAAAAGGTGAGTGTGGTTTCAATAACAGTATTTTTATACTACCAACAAAGGCATAGAATAACCAACTATTACACGATATGTCATTATATAGTATTCTGCAAAGCCCATAATAGCAAATTCAAAGTAACTGTACCTCATTTTCTCTTGTTTAGTTCTTGGACCATGGGCAGGAGATGACTTTCGCCTCACACTAATTTGTATTGCAGCACAAAGGAAATAAATATCATAGTTAAGTACAGTTTCTTTTTTTACAGTTTACCAAACTCCGACCGCAAAAAAAATACGTTTCAGACCTTCTAAACTTTTACTTACGTAGTGGGTTCAGCTTTCCTACGAATGCTATTCCATGAATGCACAGAAAGAGAATGTTATTTATAATTAAGTAGTGTTAACACATTAACTGCCATGTTTAGAAAGTTCCAATGAGCATCAGCATTTGAAAATTTCTGATCTAATACACTCAGACTGAGATTCTGTCATATTTTCTGAACATCTATTGGTTAGTTTCAATCCATTACAGAGAGTAACAATTGTAGTTTGTTAAAGTACCACTATCATCTGTCAAAAGATACAACCGAAAACAGTATTTTGATTGACGCACATATCACATTATATGTAACCAAAGGAATTGCTAATAAACTGAACAATCACAATACTGGTTTCTATCACTGTGTGTTTCCTACTGACATGACAGTAATACCATGATAAATTACCATTTTATTTGCTAGATTAAAACAAAGCAGAAAACATCAAACCAAAACCTGACAAGGACATAAGACACATATACACACATATGTTGCCAAGAAATAAATATTTACACACCTGCTTAATCTGGATCGTGATTTTCCACCATCATCAGGAGTAGTTGCAGTGGAAGCACCTGGAGATGGACTTGTTGCATCACTGATTGGGATACCAGAATCATCTAATAAAGTCAGCTGTGATTGTCGCACAAACATCCCATGGTTCTCTTTGCACTAAAACAAAAGCAACATGTTTACCATAGGTTATATATTTTGCCTAAGTCGTACTGTAATTTACACACTGACGATACTTCTGCAAAGTTGTTTTGTAAATTCAACATTGAGAATATGTCTGCATTTAAGACACAAGTATTTTATAACAAATACAAGCCATTTACTGATCTTCCTGGTCAGCATACAACCTAAATTACTACTTTTTGATGGTAACTTCATACCAGACATGGAGACAGTGAGGTTCTCCAAAATTATGGAAAACCCTCCTACCACAATACACATCCAAAAATTGAACAAGATTAGCTACAACACCTTGCAGTCTGGTAGGCTGTTTCCCAACACAGAAGACCTCAATCTGAACTTTATCTCCCATCAAAATCTGAAATGACTCACAAGATTAGCTACACATCATAAAAACCTGAAGACCTTTACAGTTAGTAGTATGTTTAAAGTGACTGTGAAATAAATACGAATGAATATTTACTTGAAAATATGATTTTCCTTGGACTGTCCCATTATTCTTTCCTCTTGGTTCATCAAGTATAACACCAATCCATTTTCCACTTGCAAACATAGTACTACCAACATAAGCAACAACACCACGAACATCTTTCCCAGTCACCTCAACTCGCTGATTCAAACGCAGTGATTTTTCAGCCATATCTGAAAAAAAGCAAACTGTATTCCAAATTAAGAATTCATTTAGATGGAACACTGCTCAACATCTGTAAAACACTTGACTACCCTGAGGATTTCAGTATAATATAATCCCATGTGTAAATTAAATTAGTGAGAACAATCAGTGCAGATTCCAATGTAACAGACATTCTAATTCAATTAATTACATGACATTCTCATGGAATACAATACACACATAAAACTAGTTATGCTACATAATATCCATTTAAAAGAAGCCTATAGTAATGTTTACTAAAGACAACTATTTGATACATTTAATATTCAGTATGGCTTAAAGCATTATTGTCATTGTTTTCCAATTGCACATTTTAGAATCTGACAAGGGAGATCTATTGAAATCATAAGAAAATGGAATTGAATGGAATACATCAATTTTTGGTCTGTGCTTATAATGCTTATTTATTGTGCAAATACGTAAATACCATAGCAAAACACAGAAACTTTATTAATCACCTATATGGTAGTTGATCTAGCAACAAATCAACATAAAACTAATATGTTCATGACCTCATCAAAATAATCCAAGATAAAATCACTATATACATACATACATTGCTGCTAAATCTTTAATGAACGTGATCATTATTAGATTGATCAAAGCAAGGAATATGAGATGAACATGGTATTCTGCATACAGACGATGAGAAATGTGTATTAAATTTTGATTAGGCGACAAAGAACAGCTTGAAAGTCGTGGATTTAATTTGGGGTTATAAAGTGAATCGAGATCTAAATTTAAGTGCTTATATTGGATTTATCTAACTTAAGATAGGGTCCAGTGGCAAACTCTCGTTAACACAGCAATGAATCTTCGGGTAATTTCTTGACCAGCTGAATGTCAGATTCTCAAGTATTAAACGTCACAGAGTCGGTTATTTTAAAACATCATTCATATGGTGACATTTCATGATGACATGATGGAGGCAGCAAACGCCGTCAGTCAATTTCTAACGGACTATACGCCCAGCATCACAGAAGACAGTCATCAGCATTAATATGGCCTATCTAAAAAAACTTTCAATACTACATTCTCACCTACTGTAATCCTTTGTGCCCAACCTATGTCCGCTTACGTATAATTGTCTCCAAAATTGAGAAATATATATATATAAAATGGAATATAACATAACTTCCAAAACATAACCTGACTGACCATCCCTGCCCTTCCTAGGGCCACGACACACCTGACATCTACAGGACCCGAGACAAAGGATTAAATTCTTTCTACACATTAAATTTCATTATATTGACACTCATGGCTATTGCTTGGTGATACCCCTGCCATCTGAAGCTAAATCCGGAACTGAGTTCGGTTCTTCTAGCGCAGTGCATGTCTATGAATTGTTACATTCAACGGTATTTCTTTCATGTGGAAATTTGTGTGAAGTGTACAGGTTTGTCTGTATTTTGTTACATGTTATATCGAATTTAAATGTATTCATCGTTGTAGGTTTTTGTATATTTCATGCAATTTTCTGTTGATACATTTCTATTGTGACTATTTATGTCCTTATTTATGTGAGTGATTGCAGAATGTGCAGAACATCGTATTAAAGCGATCATATTAATGTGGTTAAAATGTTATTTATTAACGTGTTTAATGGGTATTGTTTGTTGTTTATAGCTCGATTTTCGGCTACAGTCATAATTAGTGATCAAATAAATGTATTAATATGCAGTGCAATTTGAGGGGTGAATGTTTAGGTTAGAATGTTGCTGTCTTGTTTTTAAAGGTGTGGTATTGAAATGAGTTTTCTGTTTAGAGACGTTTACCCTGTTTAATGTGCATTGACATAATTTGTTGTTCATTTCCATTGGTGAGAATTAGTGATGTTTGTACCCTCTACCATACTTTGGTATAGGTAACAGTACTGTTGTAAATTGGTTGGATCAGCGTAACTTCAGTTTAATTACGTGATTGTGTGTGTGTGTTCGAAAGGTATAGACGATTCAAGCAGTTTTTCCCCCCCTCCTGTTTATGTGTATGAGTGTTGGTGCACGAATTGTTTTCTGAGAAGCAATGGAAGCACTTTTTCAATAACATGCCTTCCAATGTCTTATGTCTGTTAATTGTCTTTTTTAGGTTGCAGGATGTTGATGCCAAAAAAGAACCGGGTTGCTATTTATGAATACCTTTTTAAAGAAGGTGTGATGGTAGCAAAGAAAGATTTTCATGCACCAAAACACCCAGAATTGGAAAGCATTCCTAATTTGCAAGTTATTAAAGCTATGCAGGTAAGATTTCCTGTAGTCTCACACTTATTATTCAGTACCAGAAATGAGATTTAACATTCAAACTGTGACAGTGATTCTGCACTAAATCTTGGTGCAGGTTACATCGTATTTATTATGATATTTTATTATGTTAGGAGGATGATGTGAATAATTTGCTAGTGAGCGTTAGCAGCTAGGAAAACAGCATGTTCTGTATGGTTTTATAGCATATAATAAGATTGACTATTGTTCATAGAACCAGCAACAGTGAGCTGTCTAAGATATGGGATATTGGAATTAAAATAATATTGTATTTTGCACTTGAAATGTTTAACTGAAGTGTATTGAAATTATACAGCTTTTTCTTTTTAAGAACTTTGCTCTTGTTCTCATGGTTTTAATCTAACATGCAGAAATGTGTCGTGTAATTTGCATTTTCTTTGTGCTACTGCATTTTACTTTAATTTAAAGGAAGTTCAAATAAAGATCTTTGTTCTGACCTGTCCCAGATTTAGGATTTGTTGGATAAATGTGAAAGTATACCAACATATAATCAGGATTAACTTTGTTCGTGCAGTGACCCATATAAAATGGAAATGGTGCTAGATGAAAAAGAAGTTCAGTGATTATCTGTTGGTGTACATTTGTAATTATATTAATTGCATCTTGGGAGCAAAGTGGATGTAATTGATGTACTCTGAGGGGGGTGGGGGTGGTGTTTGTATGTGGGTGCAAACTTTGGTGAGGAAAATAATAAGATGATTCTGCATTACCAGTATCCATGCATTTTGGTTGTTCATGCTTTCTCTGTAGTTATCCTGGTTCACTGTGTTAGTTTGATTTTCTCTGTGATGTGAACTTGGGTGATTTTAGTGTACTTTTATGTGAAGATTGTGAAAATAGATTGAAAATGTTCCTTCTTTCGCCATTGTCTTTAGAAAACTATATTTGGGGTCTGTTTCAAGAAAAAATATAAAGTGTCTTGCAGTGATTGAGCATGGAGAAAGGCAAGCATGCAGCTATTAGCTAATACAGGTCTTGACATATCCCAGGCACCAGGTCATCATGGCACCTACGGGCAGCCGCACACCAACTGCGTCAAGACAAGCATCAAGACATGAGACAAGAGACACAGTCTTGCTTCATTCGTGATTCAGACTCGAGTCCGCACATCCAAGTAGCACGTGTCTGCGTCTTATCATATCTTCTCTAGTTGATTCTTGGAATGGCTATAGCGTGTAAACCTAATAAAACAGACAATTTAATACGGGTAATCTGTGTCCTCCATAATTCATCTGGTTAAAGGACGGCTTATTTAGCGAGCAGAGTCTAGGTGAAGATGATGATGACCATGACAAAGGCAGTTGTGAATCTATATTCCAAAACTTGCAGCCCTGCTGCAGAAGAGCAACTACTGAGACGGTTGAAATGATGAACCATTTGTGTTCTTAGTTTTTGAAACCAACTGTAGCTCTTCATTGGCAGAACAAGTACACTTTAACATAAATCTTTTCGTTTCATGTGTGAGTGAGAGCAGACTTGTACGAAACGAGCTTAAGCTCAATGTTTATAATAGTTAATTCAGTCATTAGCTCATTAAAATAAAATTAATCGGTGCACTTACCATCTATGTTTACTTCTTTTGAAACTGCATGCCAAGCTTTATCAACCTCCTCCTTGTTTGAGTTTCCCGGGGTCGAATAATCGTATATTACCGGGAATTTTTCAATCATCTGCACTATCTTAATTATTTGTTTGCTCTTCACTCATGTCGATAACGTACACTGGTGCTGTTACTTGAGTACTGATGTCTCAGTCCTGACGCACAGAAAAGGAACATGCCGAGTCTTGCTGCACGTGTCTGCAGCATGAAGCTGACGTCAGCATCATGATTCAGACCGGTGTGCAGCGGTTTCAATAATCTCATTCGTTTCAACTGTGCTCCTTTCTTTGCGTCATGTCGCAGACATCGTGTCTTGACTGTTACATGCCTTGACGCATGCCGGTGTGCGGCCTACCTACAAATTTTGTCCTGGTGCCTAGTATTTTTGAGAGTGAATATTTTAGTCTATTTGGATATTCTTCATAGTTTTTCTTGAAAGGAGAGAGAAGGTTGTATCTTATTGTGGAGAAAATTACATAGTATTTTGTTTTACTTTGAATTATGTGGAGTGTATCATAATTTACAGTTTTCCTAGTGAATGTTTGTCACTAATGTACCATTATGTTATTTTCCAGTCACTGAAGTCTCGTGGCTTTGTATCTGAACAGTTTGCATGGCGACATTTCTACTGGTACTTAACAAATGAAGGCATAGGTTATTTGAGGAACTACTTGCACTTACCAGCAGAGGTAAGCCAAGGTGTTTTTGTTGCACACATAATGGATATTGTGTATAATCAAGTTTCAAGTAAGACTGAACTACTAAATTCATATCATATTGTTACATTTTAGTGTTTTACTATGTACAACAAAAAGAATATTTAAGCATTTTTGGGATTAATTGAATAATTACTCTAGTTTTTGTCAGTTTTTGCTCGGAAAGTCTTTAGTCCAACAGTGTTTGTGCCACATAACTGCTCATTTCGGGTAGCAGAAAATCAGAACTCCAAAATCTTTGTTTAGTTGTCATATGCAAGAATATGTATTACAGTGAATTATTAGTGGAAATTTCATTTGTAATGCCATAAGGTGGCATAAAGTTTGGTTGTGTGCTTGAGTTAGGTGCTTTATTTTTGGCTTGGCATTTGGCTGGTCTTGGAGAAAAGGTGATTTTTAATTTAAATGAAACCAACCAAAGAGTTGGCCGAAGGCTCTTTGAAC